GTGACAGTATGTTTTGCAAAAGTATATCAGCTATCGCCAGAACGTCGAAAAAAAGCCTGCACCGCAACCCAAGCGTATCATTCTCTATCGTGGTATGACTTTTTTTGTCGAGGAACGTATGTGAGTCTTCTGACCGTCAGCGCCCTTCAGACGGAGTTTCGGAAGGACAGTTCAAGCAAGTCCTGGATCAAGGTTCGTGAAGGACATTGATTGAACAACCCGTACAGATCTGACAATTCCGTTTAGAGTTACCTGCCCTACAAGGTTCGTAAACATTGTTAGAGATAGATTTGGTAAGTAAGCTGACAGGTATATCTTCTCGTAGAAGCGTGTAAAACTCTCAATATCTCTGCGAAGATCACCGTAATTATCGTCGGAAAACGTCACCACGTCAGGTCAGCATCAGCCTAGCCTTCGTTCAAGTTCGAAGGTGCCCCCATTTACATTCAAGCTAGATTTTTCCCTCAGAATGAGCGTGAAGGGGACCGCAGTGGGAATTGTCTCGCCGGCACTGTTGTAGATAGCGATATTAGCCATCCCACGGAATTTGATTTCTACCTGCAAAGCCATGGAGGGCTTCTAGGGACAAGCAGACCTGCTCATTACTCGGTAAGTTTGCTTGCTATAGCTAGACCATCACCTCCGAGCTGATCCCCATGATAGGTACTTTATGATGTGCGTTCTCTTAAAGAGTCTGTTCGTCCTGTTTCTGATGCGTCCTCTTCTATGTAGGAAAACGGGTTTTCGTGCGTTGATGATATCTTTGCTTCGAAAGCGGAAATAACATTCTTCTCTAGTGCTGACGCTCTTCAGAACCTCTCTTATGCGTTGACTCATGTTTACGCACGCTCGACACGCTCTGTATCTATACCTGCCCCAGTCTATTGTGAGCCAGCACCCATCATATATTCGTCCATCTTGAAGAACTAATGTCTGCTTTTTAAGATGCCGATATTGTTTGCTCTAGGGCAAAGAATCATTACGATCCTGAGGCGAACATTAATTTATCGGAATCGGGCACCCAACTGGATGGAAGTGACGCGGAAAAATCTCTCGAGAATTTCCGTGTTGGCTTCAAGCCTGTTCATCGCAACCAAGAGTTCCTTATGTATTTCTCGGTGAGACGAACGTGAACATATATCTTCGGGCAAGGCGCTGACTGCTTCTTTGCCTTTTAGTGATCGTCTCTTGCATGTCAATGTGCTCACTGTTATACATCCGTGTCTTCGATATCTTCTTGTCGGTGGTAACTTGTAGTACAAAAAATAAAAATGGAATATGGAGAAATAAAGGCAGGCGTAAGTTGATCTATTGTTTTGCTCCACTACTATAATCGGATATGGTGTAACGGCTAACATTGCCGCCTCTCATCGTAGTAGCTCGCGGCAGCTCGGGGTTCGATTCCCCGTATCCGAAAATCTTTTTGATAAGACCAATGTTATTTTCGTGTTTCAGGAGGATTCATTGAAAAGTGTTCCAGACCTTGGTAACCCAGGCCTGTCTCAGTGATTTTGCACCTCCACAACTTACAAGCCGTTCGTTACACACTCTGGCCTGGCCTGGCGTGATCGGACCGAGGATGCCTAAAACAACGGATGACGTCACGACAAAGATCAAAGTAAGTATCAGTTGTAAATAAGAACAAATGCTCCAAATGCGGTTATACGAGTTTTCTTCTTATCTCTTCGCCATCAACTGCTATCGACCACACACCGCACACCATCCAAGACGACGACCACCTTGTTCTCCTTACTGGCCTTGAAGCTGGCTCTGACGACGACGACCAGTCCGAGGTCACGGACGACGGAAACGCGGTGAGACTGCTGACATTCACCAAGACGACGACGACGAGGGCACCATCAACCACACTCTGTTCTATTCTACCACCCAACACACAACACAATGGGTAACGCAGCCTCCACAACCTCCGCGTCCACCACCGCCCATCCCCTTGGTCCTGAATCTGACAAACGTCAATCAAGTCTCTCACCTGCTCCAACCCCAGGAAACCCTCACCATTCTCTGCGTTACAAGAAGAAGAGTCTAGAGCTACCTGATTTGGCCTCTCTGACGCTTTCTGCGAGTACGAGAGGACGACCGATGAAAAGTACTGCTATGCCGATACCTATACCAATTCCTGCTGGAGGCGTTGGCAGAGGAGAGAGGGAGAGGGAGGGAAGGGGAGATAGAGATAGAGATAGAGAGAAAGAGAAAGATAGGGAAGGTAGGAGGAGGGATAGAGAGGGTAGAGAACGTGAGAGAGAGCGTGAGAGAGAGAGGGAGAGAGAGCGATACGGCGAAGGTGAAGGCGAAGATGAGAACGACACTAACGATAACGAAGGATCCACGACTTCCCCTTCCGTCAATCCCAATCCAAACCAAGTTTATCCACCCGTGTCTCGTGCAGAAAGAACACGTCAACAGCAGCAGCAGCAAGCTCAGGCTCAGGCTCAACAAGCTCGTCGCGACTCGAGATCTAGGCGTATACAAGAGATGTACGAACAATCTCAAACACATCAAGTACCTGTCGAATTCGTACCAGAGACTGTTGTTTCTGCGCTACCTATCGGCTTGAACCCTCATATAGGCTCGCTTGAGCTCGGATTGGGTGAGGGTGAAATGTTGGCGGAGGTTCCGGTTAAAATTACCTGGAGAGGAGGAGGAAAGAGTGTTCTCTTAGCGAGAGCCGGGGACGACGATTGGAAGGGAAGACTCCCTATGAGTCCAGAGTATGTCTTTTTCCTTTCTGTGTATTCGATTCAAAAGAAACCTCATCGCACGAACATACAGATCTCCTGGATCATCGGTTTACCACGCCATCGTTTCTTTACCTCCTGGCACACACCATATCCGATTCCTTATCGACGATTTATGGCGAGTGGCCGACGATTTACCAACCGCTGTAGATGATCAAGGGTCACTGGCGAACTACGTAACTGTACCCATAACATATTCGCCACCAAATGTATCCAGTATCCCGGCATCTCCTCCGCCCCCACCAACAGCAATCAAAGGACGACCCGGTCAAAGTTTCTGGAGTGCTGCTAGCTCCACATCCGATGACGATCCTTCAGGTGCTCATGAACCTACACATTCTCAAGTTGTACCTACGCATACTACTCATACCCACACCCATCATCCCAGCATAAGTATCACCCAAGCGACATGGACCAACGTTTTACCTCCAGAGCTTATCGCTGCTGCTCAGGAAGAGGAATCTTACCTCGCCGCGACGGAGGGTGGGAATATGTATCATCATGGTGGTCATGGCCATACACAAAGAGTATCTGGATTCATTCCTGCACCCAATATCCCACCTGCACCAGGTTTACCGCGACATTTGGATAAATTGATTTTGAACGCGAGACCGGTGGTGCAGGGTGGTGCAGTTGTGGGTAGTGGAGCTGTTCCTCCGAGGAAGGGAGGGAACGGGAGAAGCCCGAATGGAGGGAGTAGTTCGAGTACTGTTGGGAATCAAGGAGATCTTTATTCCCACTTTTCCGTGGAACTGCTGTCAATTCTTCCCCTTTTGACGTGTGTCGCTGATTTAACACTACAGTCGATCGGCTGGGCCAACCTATCGTCAGATGCAATAGGGGCAATATGCTCGTTATCCGGAGTCATTTTTCTTAAATGGATCGGATGCTCCAGCAGTTTAGATGACCTGATGCTGGTGTCTGACGGCTTCCCTGCGCTTCAGACTTTACAGATCGTAAATTTCAAGGAAATTGGGCCTGGGTCTAGTCTTTCTCAACCCCCTAAAAGTTTTGAGAAGGTACAAAGCTTAAATATTATAGGTCAAGAGGAAGTGATGGTCGGTCGCCTGTTGAAACCTGCCTTTTCCCTTCCTTTTCATTCATCGAATATCACGGAACTCGCTCTTTACTTCGCATATACTGGGGGAAAAGATGTTGCTTCTATCTTGCATGCTCTCGGACCTAAGCTCGTCAGTCTCTCGTTCAAAATACTCACGAGCCATTCAGTATCACGGATTGCTCAAGGTATTATTAACTTTACTTCAGACAATATACTAATGAAAGAAAATTAACGAAAACTCTTCACTAGATTTTCCTATCTCTCTTGCGAACAATATCAATCTGAAAACGTTGATGTTTCCAACGCTTGCCAACCACGATATGTGGTGGCTTGATCTGCTTCTCAAAACGGTCTCGGATGAACACAATTTAGAGGAGATAGAGTTTTCGGTTCGTCCATTCGATGAACATTCTCCGGTGAGGATGGAGGATATCATCCTTCGTGTCGTCAAACCTCAGACAAAAGTGACCTGTAACATTGGTTGGCTCTCGAGCATGGGTGCTCAGACTTTAACCAGGGAGATGCCTGAATTGACAAAACGTGGACAGTTATGGGCAGACTATCACGTTTTGAAGTCCACTCGAGGAAGAAAACAAGGCATCTGGAGTCGAGTGACGTCTTTTACACCGGTGACCACCAAAAGACTGTGTTTGGAAGAATGATGGCAACAGTTGGAGCTACGTTATTGTAAGTAACCTGCAGCGTGTGGAGGAGCTCCTCGTCGTTATGGGACATAAAAACCATTAATCGAATATCAAATGTGACGAAATTTCCCGTATAATGTGGCACTATCCCCTTCCGAAGGCTCGACGAGTCGACTTTCAGTATATAGTATCTGATTCATGTCAATGAAGATAGTGATGCCTTTACTCCGGGTTTGTGAGAGATCAGGATCTGAGTTCAGAGTTGCGACACTGTCAGTAACGTGTGACTTCAACTCTTACTACCACCATCATTTTCTTGGAGATCCCCAACGGCACCTCCAGATAATTGGCGGTGCGTGTTCATTCCATACACTATTCCAAGGACTATCAGGGAGGATTAATACAGAGCTGCAGAAGGTATTACTTATTTCGATGGACCCACACTTGCCGATCGAACTTCAACACCTTGTGATCGCACAACTATGGGAGGATTCCGATACCTTGGTCGTCTGCAGTCTCGTATCGTCACAGTGGTTCGAAGTTGCACGAACCTTGCATTTCTCAAACTTCAAACTAACACTATGCCTGCTTTACCCGTTTGCCAAAGATGTTACCAAGTACAACGAGTTTAAAACACTTATCCAGGCACCACGATCCCGTCTGCAACCGTACATCCGTCACCTCGAACTTCAGGGCCCTCGCACGAATTGGAGGACCCCTTCGACCCCCAAACCCATAAATCCTTATAGCGATTTTTCCTCGCAACTTTTGTCAATGCTTCCCCTTTTGACCGGTGTCACCAATTTAACACTGTTGGCGATCTCCTGGTCCAAGCTGTTACCAGACGCAAGGCATGCGATCCAATCTTTATCCGGAGTTAACTCTCTTTCATGCGACCATTGCTCTACTACTGTAGATGATCTGATCATGCTTTCTGACTGCTTTCCGCAGCTACGGACTTTACGGATAGACCAACTAAAGGAAACCACGGGTGGTGCTAGTTCGACTCTTTCTCAACGGTCGAAAATCTTTCGTCGGTTACGCATCCTAAAGCTTACAGATTCAGAGCAATCAGTGGTCCGCCTATTGAAAGCAGACCTTTTTCTACCTTCACCAACGCTCACGGGCCTCACTCTTCAGAATTACGATCCTAGCTGCTGGGAAACTATCTCCTCTATACTGCGGGCTGTTGCACCCACCCTTACCGATCTTACGCTTGGCGTACGAAGTGGGAGAAATAGGATATTCCAGACCCTGCAAGGTAATCGGAATTTCACTTGAACTGTTCTTAACAAAGGATGAATGCTGACGGAAACGTTTACAGAAATCGAGCGGGAGC